ACAGACTTTAACTTAATCACAGAAGCAAGTAGAACCTTTACCTGAGAACAAAAACTGCAGTTACATAGTATTTGTAAAGTCAAATAGATGATATGCAACACACTCATGATCTTGTTCAAAAACCAATCACAGTTGTGATACTTCGTTTATTCGGCAGAAACAAACAGAACAGTAATTAACAGTTAACTGCAAGAAGTTAACAAATAACATAAAACTTGACTGCCAAATATCAAAATGTAACGATAAATACTAATATGATATCATCTTTATTGAATAAGAAACACTATTACAACTCATTTACTTCCATAGAAAATTTTGCTTTGAAATTTTTTCTCCTATCAATTACTTATTTAAAGTTATATCAGATATAAGATCAAAAATTAACGAAATCACATATATCACAAAATGACTTCTTTCCAATTAACGAATTAAAGTACACTTCATGTTCTCCACAACTGTTAAGACATCTTACTTCTTGGCTTGTCTTCGTTTGCGCTTCAGCCGTCGCATGCGTTTTTTACGCCACTAAAGAACAATTAACTTAAATAAAAATAATAATCATATTCAAAAAAATTAAGATTTTGACGGAATTAGTATCAAGTACCAGCAACAAAAAAAGTAAGCAGACCTACGAACTCCTACATCGTTGACAGTTTCTTGTTAAAATTATATATATGTTTTTAAATATCCAGTGTTACACAGCCCTTGCGAGTAGAAATAGAATTATTTAAAATGATGACTTCATAAGACATTTAAGGTGATTACATAAAATCGAAAATTAATTGCATAAAAGATAACACATCTTTTGAATGCCATGAAATTAATCGATTTATTACGGTGCTTAAATAAATAGAAGTAATTCATCCATCACAGATATTACCTCAGTTTGGTAACTGTCCAAATATAAGTTAATAAAAATATGATCACAAAATAAATGATGTAAACATATAAACGAAGTTCAGTACTACACTGTTTCAACAATTTAATGGCAAATATCATTACTGATTACTTTTTTGATACTAACTGCCACCACACTTTGATTACGGTTTGAAGGCATTCAGGCAGTACTGGACAATAATAAGAGCCGACAATTAAGAAGAACGAAACGAACCTTATCTCTCATTATTCTAAATTGCGTTTACCGATTTAGTCGCGTTACGGATAAATATGAAGTGGAATTAGTAGAATAAACCTGAAAATGTATCGAAATACATGACAAATATCGCAAAAGGATTCATGATATGAAACAAAAAACTCTCAGTAAAAAACCTTAACTCCACCTACTCAACTCTAATACTGTAAGCACAACAGTGCCCAAGCGAGCACAACCAACGTTACCAAAGAACAAAACCAATACATAGCCTACCAGAGAACATTTAGTAGATCTTACTCATTACAATTTATCAACTTCAGAGTATTAGTTTCTATTGCAGCTCATATTAAAAATTGATACTTAAAATTTAGTTTATTTTAATATAGAAAATGACCTTAGCATTGGTGCTTATCACAAATTCATGTACATTTTTGACAAACTTGTCTCGAAAACCGATAATAATTTTTTATTCAGCAATGTCTGCTGTGAAATAATTACATTACATATTAGCAGTATTACAAAATTGCATGTTATGTTGGCACTTTAGAAGTATGAAAATTGAAAATCGTAATCGCAATAAAATTATGATCAGCTTTGAGTTAAGAAATAAATCACAGTAAATTACAACTTTCATTTCTAATTCTTTTTCATGCAGCAATTCTTTGCTTCAACTTATGAATTCAATATTTGTATCGCACTTGAAAGTGTTTTTCTTCTAACTTTTTTTATTAACTTAGCCTTTGACCTGATCCAGGAATAATATTTCGTATTTCGTCCACAATTTTTGCAATTTCGTGCATTTCATTCAAATGATTTTGTAGCATTAATGTATCAATATGTTGTGAAGTTGTTGATAGCTTATCAAATTCTTTTACATTTTTCAATTTTGATTCTTTTTCAGACTTAAACATTTTTAGTGTTTTAGCCTTAGACTTTTTAAGTGCTTTATTGAAATTAGCGATTCTGACAGCTTCTGAATTGTTTGAATAATTCCAACTTGAGTCTTCACTTTCCGAATAATTTTTGCACAAATTTGCAGTATTGTTTGTGTTGTAAATTTGATTTGTTTCAAAATTTTTCGTCTTGCATTCAGTCTTCTTTGTTGATTTTGTTGTAAATTTTGATGCTTCATTACTTCTATTCAAAATTGTTGTAGAAGCTCCAGCTGCGAAGCGATTAAATAATTTTTTAGTCTCGCTAGACGATTCCTCCTCTTTTTGTGAGATTCTTGGACAGTTTAATGGTTCATCGAAATGATCTCCACTCCGTTTATTAAGGTTACTTTCTTTACTTAGTGGTATTGACAAAATATCTTCTCTGTAAAACATAACAAATAATTTTTTTTATCATTTTCACTTGTTTTAAATTTTTATAAACTTAAATATTATAAATTTTGAGTATTAATTTAAGTATTATTAAATTTATGCTAGTATAAATTCAGTCTAAAACAATCTTATAGTATAAAAATTATTACTTAAAGGCATATTCGTAAATCTATAAAAATCTTACTCAAAATTGATATCTTGAAAGGTTTTCTGTATTTTGATCTTCAAATTTGTTACCGCTTCCATCATTACTGCGATATTTTTTTTAAAAATTCGCAATTTGCCGCTAATAGTTGTGAGCGAATCAAGTTCTTGCAAACAGCACAAGCAATTTGAGATATTTTCCAGCAGTTCTATTACTTCAGTCTGAATTACAGTGAAAGCTATATATCTATACATTTGTAAGTCATGCTAATTACATCATAAAATTTAATAAAGCAAAAAATAAAATTTAGTTAGCCTTACAAATAACAACATTTTTATTGAAATGCATACAAAACAAAATAGAAATGGTCATAATTTGTGATTCTAACCTCAATTTCTACGATACCATACAGTTTACACCGAGGGGATCGATCTGGTTGTGTTGGATATTCTTTCAAATGTGCGGTGCATTTACTTGCACTATAATTGCTTTGAAAAGAAAACCAATTAAAAAAAACCTATAATTGAAAACTTTTATTCTTTTAGATTTATGCGCAAGCATAATTCAGTAAGTAATATTTCACAGATAATACGCAGTTGCGTATAAATTTCGGCTTCTGAGCTACTTTAAGAATTGAAAAAGAAATTATTGCACCAACTTAGCCATTACTGTGCATTTGAAAAGACTGAAATAAAATATTCACAGCAATTACTTTTATAGATAATTTGGAAAAAGGTCTTGTTTGTTGTTTTATTCAAAAATAATACTGAATAAATTTGCAATAAGTCCGCAACTTATGCATGATAAGTAACTCAAATCACAAGTTAACTTCGTCAGATAATTATCATAACTGTTCTCTACAAATAGTGATAATACTGAATAATAATTTATAGATTGTGTTGAAAAATTTTGAAAGTCTGCTCGGACATATTCACCATATATTATATCTTTTTAGTACTGGAATTTAATCAACGTCATTTTACTGAAAGGTATTGCTCAATTACAACAGCTAATAATTATTAAAATTGCTTGAAAGATAACTGCATGTCAAAATTGCTTTAGTGATTTTCACTGTTCATGTCTTTTGAAAAAAGTATTTTTTTACTCAATTTTGTCGGTAACACTGTAGTAATGATTATGTGAAATCACTATGTTATACTGATTATGGTGATAATTTAATTCTGCGCTCGGCATATTTTTCTTCTCAACAATAATAATTCATCATTTCAAGTGAAACATTTCAACTGCGTTTATGGCATTTACTACCATCTAATTTAAATTATAGTTCTATCATATGATTTATATTTGTATAAAATCACAATAATATTCCATACATAATGTAAGTTATCCTGATAAACAGTAATAATCAGGTTTACAAAGGATCACAAGGGACGAATCCTAAAATTATTTCATTATGATATTCTTGTTTCTTCTTTCAAGTATTCATGCAACTGCTAACTGCCATGAAATGACAATGCCTACAAGGTTAGGTCCAATACTTTTGCATTTCTCATTTAGCTAACTTTTTACTTGAATTTTCAGCAAATTTTTAATTGTGCTATATCTAATTAAAATATATAATCAAATAATTTTCAATAAATACATATTTGTGATGCAAATTATCTGTCCATTAGTTATAGTCTGAGTTATTTCAGCTATAATACATTCACAAACAATTATGGTTATGGATTGTTTGGACTTGGCCCTAACAATGCTGGTTTTGACGGATTCGGTTTTTGGCGTGATAAGTTCCAAAACAGGTCTCTACGTAGATTATTTATTCTAGTTTTTCTCTAATTTGATATATAATGATCTACTTGAACGATTTGTGCAGAAAGTGATCAAAATAGATAATCATTAAATTATAAACTTGTAAGAAAAAGACTGATTTTTGTAATGCACATTTTAGCCTTTATGTATTATACAAAAAAACTGTATAATAAATTTATTTTTTGTTACAACAATCATTACAAGCATTATAAGTTGTATGCAACGGTTAACTTAATTTGGAAATTGGTTATTAAGATTGTGATCAGAAACAATTGAACTCTAAACTAAAATTTTTACTTTTATTATGCAACTAACTATTTATTATGCATCACTCTGACTTTGGTGAAATTAAACTACTTGCTTATTATTTTTTATTTTCAGTAGGCATACTAAAAGTTATTTATCATCAATTATATTGAAAGTAAAGATAATAACTGTGAGGAAGAACGGGTAAGAATGACCCAAAGATTAAAGAAGATTATCAGATTTCTAAAGATGACCCAAAAATTAGGAAGGTCAACAGATATATTGACCTTCGTAATACTTTCCCATATGCTATTTTTTCTACTGCAGAAGTTTAACATTGAAAGACCTAACAGTGCACTAAGAATCATTGTTTCAATTCCGCATACAATATACTTCATTGACCAAGTTAGA